GGGGGGGGGGGGGGTGAATGCCGGAGACATTTGCCGGCGTCTGGAGCCACGAGTGGCTGTCACATCTGGGAGGTGCTGTTGGCACCTGCTGGGTGGAGACCAGGGGTGCCGCTCAACGCCCTGCGGTGCACAGGGCGGCCCCTCCGCAAGGGGGAACCGGGCCCCAAACACCCAGGGGACCCAGGCTGCGAAACCGTCCTCCCATCTACAGGTGGCGTTAACTGTTCGCGTTGAATGTCTTCCTCCTGACTTTTTACTTTATCGCAAACCGTGCCCACGAGGAGAACGCTCACGCTACAGACGTGACATACGGACACCTCCCTGTGCCGTGAAACCCCACAGCTTCCCCTTGTCTTCCGTCCTAGCTGTCCGTGGCCAACCTGCTGAGGCTTAACCAGGCCCTGTTCCCACCCAGCCACGGGACAATGCAGTCTCTGCACCGGCAGGGCTTCCGCGACGCCACGGAGTTTTTATCTAAGGAAAACTGGCTCGACTAGAGCGCTCGCGGCACGCAGCGCGAAGCCCGTTTCAGACGGTTTGGGATGGGGGTTTCCAATTAAATTAAAAAAAAAAAAAAGTCAGAACTCTGTCCGATTTATTAGTTTTTGTAATTGTTTTCGTTTTTTCTGCTATTTGATTTTTTTTACTTGGTGCAAAGAAATAAGAGGCATTTTATTAGACGTCGGCCATGTCATTAAGGGTACGACTCGGGTGACGAGCTTAAGTGGATAAACTGCCGCAAAACCCGAGGAACCGGGTGGACCACGTAGCCTTGCAGATAAAAGGTGAATCCAGACGGTCCTTCACGTATTTTCAGTCCCGTTATGCGGACGCCGGCCCTTCCACATTTTGAGTTGCCCTCTCCCTCGGGGGCCTTGTGCCCGGCTTTGTACGAACTCGCGTGCACGGTCTTGAATCTTAAATCTGTTTTTATCCGGCTTTGCCACGCGCGACCTCTTAATTACCAAGGAGCACTTAGAAACAAACCAGCTTTTAATTGCCCGCCCTTAATTGTTATGCATTTGTCTTTTTTTGCCATTTGAAAGCATTCTTTAAATCAATTTTATGGTGGTTCAAAGCCCCCAGTACACGACTCTGAGCTCCTCAGCGCCGACCAGCTTCTCTTTCCTTGGAGCTGCGCACACACTACTGTGAGCGGCGCGGTTCCCGGCGCTGGTGTGTTTTCCAGCGAACGTGGCCGACCCTCCCGCATGGTTTTAGCCGGTGACGCGAAGCGGACGCCTTCTCAGTTCATTCCCAAGTCTGTTTCTCTAGATGCTTCCCCTTTGATCGTGTTTATGTTGAAAATCCTACTTGTATGATCGTTTGATAAATTCTTTATGATGCCTCCCCGAGCAGAACCCAACTCTTAATGCTTTAGACGTTTCGGAAGTGTTTGGCTCCTATAGCATGTGTCTCTGACTGTGGGGGTGGCCGGCGATTTCCTGGGAGAGCGCTGTGGGCTCAGTGACACGGGTCTACAGTGACCCCGGGGAAACGGGACCTTGTCACAAAGTGCATGGTCTGTGCTCATGGGTGCTCCCTGGGGCTGTACCAGTCTCGTGGGCGGGAGTCCGCTTGCACCCCGTGGTGCTCAGAGCCCGTCTGCAGGGCCTCTGGGCTCACGGTGCTCAGAGCCCGTCTGCAGGGCCTCTGGGCTCACGGTGCTCAGAGCCTGTCTGCAGGGCCTCAGAGCCCGTCTGCAGGGCCTCTGGGCTCACGGTGCTCAGAGCCCGTCTGCAGGGCCTCTGGGCTCACGGTGCTCAGAGCCTGTCTGCAGGGCCTCAGAGCCCGTCTGCAGGGCCTCTGGGCTCACGGTGCTCAGAGCCCGTCTGCAGGGCCTCTGGGCTCACGGTGCTCAGAGCCTGTCTGCAGGGCCTCAGAGCCCGTCTGCAGGGCCTCTGGGCTCACGGTGCTCAGAGCCCGTCTGCAGGGCCTCTGGGCTCACGGTGCTCAGAGCCTGTCTGCAGGGCCTCAGAGCCCGTCTGCAGGGCCTCTGGGCTCACGGTGCTCAGAGCCCGTCTGCAGGGCCTCTGGGCTCACGGTGCTCAGAGCCTGTCTGCAGGGCCTCAGAGCCCGTCTGCAGGGCCTCTGGGCTCACGGTGCTCAGAGCCCGTCTGCAGGGCCTCTGGGCTCACGGTGCTCAGAGCCCGTCTGCAGGGCCTCTGGGCTCACGGTGCTCAGAGCCTGTCTGCAGGGCCTCAGAGCCCGTCTGCAGGGCCTCTGGGCTCACGGTGCTCAGAGCCCGTCTGCAGGGCCTCTGGGCTCACGGTGCCCACAGCCCGTCTGCAGGGCCTCTGGGCTCACGGTGCCCACAGCCCGTCTGCAGGGCCTCTGGGCTCATGGTGCTCACAGCCCATCTGCAGGGCCTCTGGACACACGGTGCTCAGAGCGCGTGCGCAGGCCTCTGGACTGAGGGCACCCGGCACCCACAGCAGGCTCCGCCGTGTCAAGGGACCAGCATTTTGGGGCGCCCTGGAGCTGGTGTTCGGAGAATCCTAAGAGACTTCTGACCCAGATCCTGGGGCGTTTGCAGGGCAATCACTGTGCTTGGCGGCTAGATCAGCTCCCAGTTCCCCGTGGGCGCAATTTCCCAACATCAACGAAGCTGTCATTTAAAATTTCATTAGTCTTTTTTTTTGTTTTGGTTTCTTCTTTTCAGTAACAATCATTACTTTGTAACTATGGCAACCCACTGTTTCCATTGACAGAGGGAATACATTTGGTTTTGAAGTTAAATAATGCTCCGGAGGAGCAGGCTGTATTAAAAAAAACAAAGCTCTGCTCCCTCCGCCGTTTGCAGTGTAGCACGTGCGCGTCAGAAGGTGGCAAAGAAACAGGTGTGTGGCGCTGGGCATCCAGTGATGGCTCTGAACAGACACCTGCACTTCGAGCGGACAGGTTTCAGTTAGGCTGTTCCCTGTCCTTTGCAAGCAGATGCATGAGACACAGGCCGTATGCACACGAGGTCTGACAGGAGGACAGGCTTCAAACCTGCAGTGTTGTTCGCCAGCCTCACCTCAGTAAACTTATTTTAAAAGATGCATATAAAGATGCAGAGCTTTTTTTATCCGCTCTTGTAACAATGGGCACTTGGGCCGCCATGGAATACTACGCAGCTGTGAAAAAGAAGGGCCTCTTACCCTTTGAAACAGCGTGGAGGGACCCGGAGGGCATTGTGCTGAGTGAAATAAGCCCGTCAGAGAAGGACAAGTGTCCCCTGGTCTCACTCATATGTGGGATCGAATGAACAAAGTAGATCCAGGGACATGGACGCCTGGGACAGACTGAGGACTGTCAGGCGGAAGGAGGGTGGGGAGGTGAGACGAGATGAACTAAAGAATTTATATGCATATATGGGTAACCCATGGGCACAGACAATAGTCAGGTGAAGTCCTGGGGGGGCATCTCGGGGGGGGCCATGGGGAAACAAATAGGGGACATCTCGGGGGGGGCCATGGGGAAACAAATAGGGGACATCTCGGGGGGGGCCATGGGGAAACAAATAGGGGACATCTCGGGGGGGGCCATGGGGAAACAAATAGGGGACATCTCGGGGGGGGCCATGGGGAAACAAATAGGGGACATCTCGGGGGGGGCCATGGGGAAACAAATAGGGGACATCTCGGGGGGGGCCATGGGGAAACAAATAGGGGACATCTCGGGGGGGGCCATGGGGAAACAAATAGGGGACATCTCGGGGGGGGCCATGGGGAAACAAATAGGGGACATCTCGGGGGGGGCCATGGGGAAACAAATAGGGGACATCTCGGGGGGGGCCATGGGGAAACAAATAGGGGACATCTCGGGGGGGGCCATGGGGAAACAAATAGGGGACATCTCGGGGGGGGCCATGGGGAAACAAATAGGGGACATCTCGGGGGGGGCCATGGGGAAACAAATAGGGGACATCTCGGGGGGGGCCATGGGGAAACAAATAGGGGACATCTCGGGGGGGGCCATGGGGAAACAAATAGGGGACATCTCGGGGGGGGCCATGGGGAAACAAATAGGGGACATCTCGGGGGGGGCCATGGGGAAACAAATAGGGGACATCTCGGGGGGGGCCATGGGGAAACAAATAGGGGACATCTCGGGGGGGGCCATGGGGAAACAAATAGGGGACATCTCGGGGGGGGCCATGGGGAAACAAATAGGGGACATCTCGGGGGGGGCCATGGGGAAACAAATAGGGGACATCTCGGGGGGGGCCATGGGGAAACAAATAGGGGACATCTCGGGGGGGGCCATGGGGAAACAAATAGGGGACATCTCGGGGGGGGCCATGGGGAAACAAATAGGGGACATCTCGGGGGGGGCCATGGGGAAACAAATAGGGGACATCTCGGGGGGGGCCATGGGGAAACAAATAGGGGACATCTCGGGGGGGGCCATGGGGAAACAAATAGGGGACATCTCGGGGGGGGCCATGGGGAAACAAATAGGGGACATCTCGGGGGGGGCCATGGGGAAACAAATAGGGGACATCTCGGGGGGGGCATGGGGAAACATAGGGGACATCTGGAATACTTTCAACAATGAAGATACATGTAAAAAAGATGCATATAATCGCATGCCTTTTTATATTTATAAATATTAATCGTCCAACGTACTCAGATGCATTATTTTTACAGCTGAGAAACCAATCGTTCGGGGAGTTGAGGCGGTGAGGTGTTTCTTGCCCAAGCTGTGCCCCAGCGAGAGCCACCTAACACTGAAACTTGGAGGCATCGCCCTCATCACCGAAAGCAGCAGGGGAAGCCACGGCGGTGGGTCGGGGAATCGGGAATGATTACGGCCCCCATCGCTATTGTTCGCGGNCTTGGAGGCATCGCCCTCATCACCGAAAGCAGCAGGGGAAGCCACGGCGGTGGGTCGGGGAATCGGGAATGATTACGGCCCCCATCGCTATTCGCGTNGTCGGGGAATCGGGAATGATTACGGCCCCCATCGCTATTGTTCGCGGAGCGGCCGTGGGCCTGGCTGGGCTCACCCTGCAACTGCTCAGCTCTGGCGTCGCTTCGCCTCTGAGACGCGGCTCAAAGCTTTGCTTACTCAAGACTAATACCCACGCTGATGAATTCCTCGCACGGCCCCTCGGGGGCATTTCCTGCTCTTGGTGCCTCAAAGAGAGGCAGACGCGAGTCAGCCTTTCCCACGCCGCAGAAGGCCTTTCCAAGTGTGCAGTCGTAACAACACACATCCACCTTCATCTCGAAACAGGTAGTTTTTTTTAAAAAAATGTGATTATGGACGAACATGCTTCAGCGTGGCTACGCACGCTCATGCTCGCATCCCCGACGTGGAGCAGGCCGTGGCTGTGCCTTGTAACGGCGGACATGAGGCACCGGCCTCCTGCTCCGTTTCGTTGCGTGTACGAATGTTCTTTAAGTAGCATCTGTGCAGCCCTGGCCTGTTGCTCAGTGGTTAGAGCGTCGGAATGGTCCTGGGTTTGACTCCTGTTCCAGGGCACGTACCTGGATTGCAGGTCCTATCCCGGGCCCTGATCAGGGTACA